CTGAAAACAACGGATCTACAGCAGCTTTCCCCAAAGGATGCACCTTGCTGAAGCGATGGGACCAGGAGGAGAACTGTCGGATCTCCAGGGAAGAGTCGTCGTCGTTGGTCTCCTCGTCCTCGTCGGTGTCCAGGTGGCGGTACCGTTCGGAGCGAGCTGGATGAGACGGGAGGGGGGGGAGAGTGGGCGTCGGGCAAGTAAAGAGAGCAGACGCACTCGCAGGACTGTTTCCAGTTATCGTGATTTGTTCAAAATGTCTTTCGTGTGTGACTGGGGAAGAGCGGGGCCACCTACTGTCAAAATAGCTGGTGTCGTCTTCAGCCTCCAGCTGAGGGATGAACTCTGCCTTCTGGCGCAGGAGGCCATTCCAGTCCAGGCTGGCAAAGAAAGGGTGCTGCTTGACCTCGCCGGCCCCTCCTGAAAGAGAGCTCCCCCTGTCAGCACAGCCCCTGCATGCCCGGTGCACACGTGCGGCTACAAACCCAGGACTCAGGGCAGGCCGATGAGACTCATCCCTGGTTTCGTCCGAGACGTCACGTTTAAGACCATGCTTGTTAAGCGTTCATACTTCAGCCAACAGCTACCGTAGCACCCTGCAGCTCAGCCAACATCTATATATCCCTGCAGCTCACAGCTGGCAGCCCACTGAAGCTCAGCAGGTGTGAGCCTGGCCAGGACCAGGATGGGAGACCTCCTGGGAAATCTAAGGTTGCTGCTGGAAGAGGTGTTAGTGGGACCAGTAGGGAGTGCTCACACTTGGTCTGTTTGGGTCCTAAGCCCTGTACAGCAATAGTTACCCTCCCCAGTGTCCTGGTCCAATTTCCCCCCCGGCCTTTACCAGTCATGGCCTCTCAACAATCCCCCATCTCTGAACGTTTCATCACTCTGCTCTCCTCCCCACTGGGAGCTGGTGTGTGGGGAACGGACTGGAGCATCATCCAGGTGGGGTGTTCCCATTACCTCTAAAGCACTTCGATTGGAGTTTCCAGAAAAGCATTATATAAGTGTATAAGTGTATGGAATTACTATTAATTATTATTGATACAACTGGTTAAATACTTGACATTTTTCAAAGCCCAGGTAATGGAAAATGAGACATGCATAAAATTGAAAACACAAACACTGTTGGTACCTGTGCCCAGACGCTCCAGGGGGCTTTGCCTCAACAAACGCGTGATCAGATCCTGGGCGTCTGCAGGCAGGGCATCATCACCATCCGGCCACATGATCTCGTCTGACAAACGCAAGAGAAATCCACACTGTTCCGTTAAAATTTATACCCTAAA